GGGTCAGATCAGACCGATACAAAGGTGACAATAAAACCAAACCGAACAGAACCAAACCGGGCACAGGAGAGAGTTATAGAGGAGGTCTGCAGCCGTCAGACAGCTGCTAGTCTCTCATTAGTCTGACACTCTCCGCAGTGGCTTGGGATCGAGTCCTTATCTTACTAATAAATTCCGATCACAATAATCCCAAGAAAGGCCTGAGCACTGTCACAATGGCTTCCCACGCCGAGCTGGTTTCTGTGGGACTGCGTGGAGGACCGGGCCGGGCCGGGCCGACGCGCTCAGCTTTCCTGCGAAGCTTAGGCGCCATGACGCAGAAAGGACAGCTATTCTGGGCCCAGTCTGGCCAGCGCCGAGGGCAGGAAGCCTGCTGGCAGAGCGGGATGGATCTCCCCTTTCATTACGGGCGCGAAGCAGGCCGGAGCGCAGCAAGCGGGCGGGCGAGTGGGCGGGCGGGCGAGCGGGCGGGCGTACCCTGCGGCATGCTGATCTTCTCGCTGCTCCTGAACTTCAGCTTGTGCTTCTTGAAGGTGCCCTTGCGCTTCTTCACTTTGGGCTTCTCCTGGTTCATGTGCCGGATGAGCAGGCTGAGCTCGCGCTCGAACACGTCCTGCTCCCAGCGCGCCAGCTGCTGCTCCCGCTGCCGCAGGAACTCCTCATGCGACTTCTGCTGCAGGGCGGCGCGCTGCAGCTCCTCCTCGCGGCAGTGCAGCTCCTGCGTCAGGGGCATGCCGCCGTTAGCCTGCTCCACTGCCCCCACCCCCATATGCAGCCCCCCCCAAAACCTAAAACCATTTTCACATTACTATTTCATTTCATTGTATTTATTTTTAATTTTTAAAAATATTTGGTTACATTTTACATTAACTGCACCTTCGTAATGCATTCATACAACATTCATAAGCAGTGTGTAAGTTTAACATCCTAAAATAGCATAACAGCTGTAATATACATCAATAACAAACAGTATATGATTAAAAGGTTATAATGTTTATTATCATATATTGTTTGTTTTTTAATATATATTATAGCTGTTAAGGTATGTTACACCCCCCCCTGCTCCATCCTAACCCCTCCCCCCCCCCCCCCCCCCCCCCCCGAGTGCGGCAGCAGGAATGTGAGGCGTTCCGTCAGGGGAGGGGTACCGTTTAGCTGGGCCTCCGGGGTGGGGGATCGGTACTGCTCCCACTCGGCGTCCGAGTGCCCACTCTGCCTGCTGTCCCCCTGCAGAAGCTTGGCCCTCATCGAGAGGCTGGGGGGGCAGAAACACATGGGAAAAGATTCAAATATGAAGCGTGCACATGCGTCCTAAGCAACAATGCTACACGGTAAATCCCTTTGATATTGAGATTCGAGGTGGGGGGGGGGCATCACCTGCTCTCCTGGGAACTGAGCCGCAGGACTTTGGGTCGGCAGGGGCTCTTGGGACTCTGGGGGCTCCGGAGGGGAGCCGGCCGGGGCTCCTCGTTTGGCTGCCTGTTAGCCGGGAGCTCGAGGGGCCACACGGAAGGGGGACCCCACGCCCGGCTGCCGTCGCTGGGGCTCACTGAGGGGGTACAGCAAGCACCCGACATGAGGTGACATGCCCAGAACAGCATACTTACAGTGATATACAGAGCCACTCAAAAGCTCGGGCTTTATAATTCAGCACATGACACGGATTAAGAGGACGAGCTTGTTGGACCCCGAGGCATCGTGGGCTACCTACAGATGCAGCGTAACGCTAGTTGCCCGTTTTGTACAGGCACACAATAACAGGAAAAAAAATCCACAGAAAAGTGTGTGTGAAAGGACCACCCCCCCATTCTGATCGATCGTTTAAAGCCTCCACATTGTAGGTAGTGATGATGTCCATACTGCAGACGAGCAAACGCAGAAGTTATATATCGCACTTCAAAAAAATAGCCAATCTGAATTATTCTCGTTATCTATATATTACACTTTCGGATTCTTTAGTGAGTAAATAAATTTTGCATTAATGTATGTATTTGGGGCACGTCATGGTGGCGCGGAGAATCGTGGCGTTTCATAAACTGAGCAATAGCTCCCCCCTGTGGTGGAGAGTGACAGTACAATACCAATTCAGTAATTCGTGAGGCGGTGATGTGGCTCTCTGACACCGCTGGGGGACTGAGACGGGCTGTACGATGCACTGGCTTGTGGCGTTCATGGTGTACGAGTCAGTCTATAGGCTGAGGAGTCGTGGAGGGGGGGGGGNGCCCCACCCCCCCGCACCTTCTCCTTGGCCCGCAGCTCATCGAACATGCCCTGAATCTCCAGCTTCCAGCCGTCTTGCAGCGAGTGGAAGGAGTCCTGGTGCATCTCGTCCAGCACCCGGTGTTCCAGGGCACTCAGCTGGGCCAAGACGGCAGCGAAGCTGGGCCGTCCGTGGGGGTCCTGGTCCCAGCACTCTGCGGGGAGCGACGACCGCGACTCTCATCCTCGGGCTCGCCCCGCATCACCACGGCAACCCGCCGCCTCGCTCAATTTAATCTACACAGGTATTTATCAGAAAAACACAGCCCCCCTCCCGTGCCCTGGCAGCATGTAAACAAGTGCGCTCCTCCGACGTATCAAATAAGGAGGCAGGTGCTGGGGAAGGTTGGCGTTGGCACCTGTCATGAGCTGCGCGAAGGGCTCCGGGCAGGTGGATGGCACCGGGAGGGTCAGCTTGTTGACGGCCACACCATAGGCCACCGCCAGGCAGTCGATGCCTCTGTAGGGCACCTCCCCCGTCAGCAGCTCCCACAGCAACACGCCGTAGCTGCAACGCCCCACACACACACACACACACACACACATACACACAGTCAGGGCTGAGTCCAGCCACCCGTTGTCGGGACGAATTTCAAAACAGACTTTTTTTGAGCAATAATTTCACTTCTGTAATATCTGCGCGAATCCACCCACTGCGGTGTGTATCCGGTGACAGTGGGCCGCAGGCCAGCCCGGAGCCCTGAGGCAGGATGCTGGCCACAGTGTCACACGCTACGGGGCATCCAGAGACAGCTTCATGTTTTTGGGCTGCTGGCTAGCTGGGGGGGGGGCAGGTCTGTGGTGTTAAGCACTGGGACACCGTGTCAGCAAATTCTGTTTCATTTATCTGATCTTTCTCGTCTGTACAGTAAAACTTCTGGAACTGAGCTTCCAAAACTGTAAATAATTAATTTCTATCCTCTGCTACTTCGTTCAACTGCAGTAAAATAAAATATATATAGTATATGCTAACTGGCTATTCTGAGAGATAATTACCATTTCCATTCGCTATATTCACAGTGCTGTAGTGTTCCACTTACAAATTTCCAGAGTTCCAGATTTTACCGAAGACCGCGGCAAAATTAGAGCACCCTGCAGACCTGTTGACCTGGGGTCATTAATTGTAATCATATTTTCCTATACATTATTAATCTGGGCCCCAAAGTTTGAAAGCTGTGACCTAGTGTGCTATATTTGTGAAATTACAAACTTTTTAGCTTACTTTGCACAAACTGACAACCTGATTTTTTTTCCCCCAAGAGTTTTTCCGCACAGTAAAAGATCTGTATTCTCATCTCATCTCCATGGCGTTTCTCCTAATGAGGGTTGCCATGGCAGCACGCCAAGCAGAGCAGGCCACGCCCCTTTTGTCCCTGCCACCGATTCCCAAATAACATGTTCTTAAAATCCACTAAGCACCTCAGCCAGCTGCTCTTGAGCTGAAGGACTAACGGCTATATTTCATTGTTCCTCCGGAGAGTCAATCCTCGCTTCACACAAAATTCTCCACATTAACCCTTGAAGAGCAAAAAGTAAACAAGGATCATTACCTTGGATTAAACATAATGGAAATCTAAGATATTATTCTGATTCAGAAGCTCTGTTCTGATATCTGGGGGGGGGAGGGTGCAGTGGCTTGCCTTACGCCTCTAGGACCTGGGTTCGAGTCTCCGCCATGGTTCCATGTGTGTGGAGTTTGCATGTTCTCCCCGTGTCATTGTGGGGTTTCCTCTGGGTACTCCGGTTTCCCCCCATGACCCAAAGACATGCTGAGGTTAATGGGAGTTACCAGATTGCCCGTAGGTGTGTGTGAGTGTGAGTGTGAGTGTGAGTGTGAGTGTGCCCGGCGATGGGTTGGCGCCCCATCCTGGGTTGTTCCCTGCCTTCTGCCTGTAGGCTCTGGAGCCCCTGTGAGCCTGAATAGGATAAGTGATTACAGAAGATGGGTGTTTTGATATCTGTCTAATCCTGTATTCCTGCACCCCGAGCAGAGCCTGTCCTTTTCGGGACCATTTCTGCGACCAGCTGACCATATTAATCAGCCCCACCACCACATCCCTGTGAAAGGACCAGATAAACAGCGACAGAAAGAAAACACAAATGAAATAAAGGACCTATCTGACTAGGAAGTTTAGCCTTTTTAATTATCTTCCTCATGACATGAAAACAGCAGAAGCTCTCGTCTGAACTCCGGCTTGCTAACCCTAACCCTAAACCTAACCCTAACCATAACCCTTTCGCCTGCAGTCCAGACACGGCTTTGCCAGCAGAAAGACGGGAGACATCAGCGCTTCCCCTGAACGTCCTCAAACCACCCGGCTGGCAGCTCTTCAGCAGAGTCCCTCCCGCTTCCATCGTCTTCCTTGACGTGATGTTTCTCCGCACCTTGATCGCCCAGCGACCACCTGCTGTCTCCTCCCCATTCCTCTAGTTCTTCAAAAAAAAAACTGCAGACATCCTCCTACCCTTTTCCTCTTTGATCAACTTCCCCCTGTCCGCTGCCTCTGTTCAGTCTACATTTACATGAAAAATCCTTTTAAGACCAGTTAAACCATTACTATTAATGCAAATCTCAACCCTCTGTCTCTCCTATAAAGTAATGCCCTCCCCCTTACCGGCCTGCATCTGAGGCCATCCCAGAGAAAGTTCTTTTCTGCCTCACAGGGGTTGCCTGCTCTGCCTCACAGGGGTTGCCTGCTCTGCCTCACTGCCAAACCTGTACTTGTATTCTCATTCTCCTAAGCTGACATTGACAATCGACCATTAGATCTTCCCATCCACCCTGCGATATATTTGTCTTGACAGCACGGAGATATTATGCTTTACATCTCTCCATTCCAGCTTTTCCTGTCAGGTGCGGAAGCCTTTTTCAGTACCTTGAATGTTACTTTTTTACTTCTCTACTGGATCCATCGATGACATCATCAATATGCAGTTTCCCTTCACTGTCACAGCAAACGTTTCCTTTCTCTACCTCCCTTCGCTTCCCATGCTAGACACTAACCATCACCGGACTCCATCTCCATCGAATGTGCCAACTGGACACAGAGATGAGAACTTTCTAGTATCTTTGCACTATCAGCATGTGGACTAACCCGAAACAGGTAGTCTAAAACAGTGTCATTCAACGCGGTCGTCGCAGTACCCCAGCCGGTCCACGTTTTTGTTCGGACTGTCTGGAAGGGAGCTGGAAGGGAGCAAAAATGTAGACTGTCTGGCTGGGAGCTGGGAGGGAGCAAAAATGTGGACTGTCTGGCTGGGAGCTGGGACAGAGCAAAAATGTGGACTGTCTGGCTGGGAGCTGGGAGGGAGCAAAAATGTAGACTGTCTGGCTAGGAGCTGGGAGGGAGCAAAAATATAGACTGTCTGGCTGGGAGCTGGGAGGGAGCAAAAATGTAGACTGTCTGGCTGGGAGCTGGGAGGGAGCAAAGGTGTGGACCATCCAAGGGTCCCCGAGAAACAGGTTGAGAAATACTAATATAAAAGATATTCCTGATTCCTGATTACCCTCTGCACAGAGCTCTCTTCATTTAGATTACGTAGTTCTTCTGTGACTTTGCATACTTCATGTGAAACATTTCTCACACAGGTTTCCCCTCGCTCTAAGCAGATCAAATAAATCCACCAGGACACCCTTCCAGGAGTCACAGTATGCTAATCCTCTCACCTCCACACGTCGCTGCCCCTGGAGAAGGTGGACGTCTTGATCACCTCCGGCGCCATCCAGGCGTACGTACCCGCCGCGCTCATCTTCGTGGTCTTGTGCCACTCCCGCGCCAGCCCGAAGTCGGTGATCTTCAGGGTCTTACCCTCCATGTTTTCATTCCCAACGGGCTGGGCAAGCAGAACTGCAGGGAGAGAAGAAACCTGGTGGATCTGAGCATCCAGGGAGTCACAATCACAACTGACCTAAGATAGGATCGGAAGCTTTATTTGCTAATTGATTCATATTCAGAATGTATCCCAAGTATAAAACGCAGCATAATTCACCAGCTTGAGTACTCTCTGTGCTGTTATAATCCCGAGTCAGTTACCGGGCAGGGAAAATCATCATGGACCCCTCACACCCAGCTTACAACCTCTTTCACCTTCTCCCCTCTGGTTGGCGCTAGAGATCACTGTGAGCCAAGACAGACGGGCACCATAAAGGCTTCTTGCCACAAGCCATCGCCCTCAGAAACAGCTGACCCAGCTGCCCCTTCCCTGCCCACTCAATACTCCATTGCTGTAAATAATACTCACAGTACTTTGACTATTGTTTTGTACATACTGTATTTATGCTAGCAGTCCTGTACTTTTTATACACTTATCAACAACACATCCACATTGCATATAACAACTGGACTGTATCTGTCACTGTCTTGAGAATGTATCTGCTCTCTGTATCAGACATATTCCCTGTGAGTGTGAACAGACTCGGCCAAATAAACCAGATTCCGATTTCGATAACCCTAAATAGACTCGACATACACTGACTCGTTGACTTGCTGTGGTTTTCGAAAGCATTTTAAAAATGCGCAGAGCTGCTTAACACTCCAAACACAGGTGGGCAACCTTGTGCAATTTAACAAACCCTATTTACCAAGCAACTCAAGCCAGCCATTGCTGACATATCCTATTTCAACATAACCATGTACAACAGGAGAGAGATCCTATATCTGACCACACAGACCTCCTGTGACAATAAAATATTTAAAAATAACAAAAAAGGTATGCATGTTCAGATTGTGATCCTTGTTCTATGTATATATTTCCTTAGAAATCACGAGTAAACTAGAAGCACTGAGGTATTGATCTGTCTCTCAGCAAGAAGCCCACTGGCCACATGGGAATCTGCCCGCTTAATGTCGCACAGCTGGGCTGCATCAAGCGTCTGACTATTCAAATCAGCTGGGCAGACATGATGAGAGAAGCCAGGATGGAGAATGACAGACAGACAGGGATAACATACAGCCCCACCGGTAAAAAAATGCGTAACATTCACAATGGGGGATTAAGATGAAGAACAATCAAGACAAACAGTGCTTCTGACACGCAACGCATGCGGAGATATTTATAACTATGTACTCTAAAACGAGGCCGAAGCCCATGAACAGGAAGAGATTTAAAAAGACAAAGTGAGAAGAGCGTGGTAGCTGAAATTTGGCATTCATAACGTCAGACATATCTGTTCTCCATTACAAACTGCAGAAAATATAAGGAAGTATGAGATGCCAACTTCCTGAAAATAACTGATCCGAAATGTTACAGCAAATAATGATGAATTATCCTATTCGTCTGCAAGACGCGGAGAACGCCTCTCATTCCACACTCCTCGCATGTGGCACGTCCTTTAAAAGAATATTGCTTTGTGCTATTCATTGCCATATCACATGCATTTCATACGAAATTTGTTTTCATTTAGTGACGGCTACACATTTTCGTAAGTCATAAGCGACTTGAATTTAATCTAAATGAAATTAAATCGCAAGACTCGGTAAGTGTGAAAGCTTACGCATGGATTTTAGCCGCAAACTGTAAAATTATGACATTTGATCACAAACGAAAGTCCAGTTTCAAACAGAAGCACGCAGACGGCAGGCCTTTTGTTCGATTCCTCTTCCACTTTTGACTTTCAACTTTCGGCCCCGTCGGCGAGTTCAAGCGGAATACATCAGAATTGCAACATGCCGCGGTGGCCAGTTCATTCTGGGGCGCTAAACCAAGGCCGGTGAAAATGAAATAAATGGCTGTTTTCACAGACAAACAGGATCAGCGTACATCTCTCTGCCAGCAGACCAGCTAACATGATTAACGTTGAAAAAAAAATCTTCTTTCTGCTGGGAGCAAAAAAAAACCTATCCCCAAATCACCATTTATAGCGCTTACATAAACAGCGCCAAGAAATGGATATTTATGGGTATTTATTTATACACACTGTAGCATTGCGGGCGACTGAGCTTGCTCAGTGATTGGCTCACTCACTATAATTATGATTATTGCGATATCAAAGCATTTGTCTTTTGATGGTTGTTTCTTCATTAATGTTTTTGGTGCTTCTCCCTACTTGTAACATTACTTAATAATTCTTCCATAACTGCCATGTAAATGTCTCATTAGTCGCATCCCTGTTATACACGTACTTCTGGATAATATCTGCTGTTTTCGTGAAGATCCTGGGGCTAATCAATGGCGGGTGGCTGCATGTGTCTTCTACAGAAGCAGATTTTCACCAGAGAAGTAGAGATCATGTAATGGGTTATATGCCTGCAGAGAGGTTCCTGAATCGCATGATTTTTCCACAAGGGCAGCTGGTTTTCGGACGGAAGGATTCATTACAGTCTTCCCCCAAATGTAATATAACTGAAAACAAAAGCAAGACCACACAAGCTGAACGCTAACCAAAGTGAAAAGTTAATTCCCGACCACAACGTCACGTTTCTATCTCTCCTTTATATCCCTCCCTCTTCTAACTGTGCAGACATCCTCCACTTTCCCCAAAATCAACACGCTTCACGTCACAGGAGGATGAGGTGGAAGAAACAGAGATATCCCATTGTTTGGCCTCGCGAGCCCATTAGCCGCCGCACGCTAGCGTCAGAGTGCCGCGTCTGTTCTCTGGGGCGGACCCAGAAGCCCCTGTTTTGTACAATCTCTGGAACTTTTCCGCTGCTCAAAGAAAGGCAGGGTTTCGAGCGAATGCATCACTCTGAAAGCCTATTCTAAGTAAAACAATAAGAAGTGACAGCCACGTGCAATGGAAACACCGAGGGCAAAAAAAAAAAAAACTTCATTTCACCTGAGCTGATTTGTGTTTAAACCAACTTCAAAACCTGGGAACGGAATTTATCTACTGGGTAATTATCTACTCGGGGGGGTGGTACCTTTAAATCTTCAACATCGATGAAAGAAACAATTGTTTAAAAGAGAAAAGGGATTAAAGAGGGGAGCAGTGTGTCAAACACCGTAAACATGACTTACGATCTGTTTCCCAAGAATGCAGAGAGAGGTTTATAGATCTGTAAGGTGAGCAGGGTTCGGGGACTCGCCCCAAAGCCCCCACTAAAATGTAAGCATAGGCGTTGATGGTTAAAGGCAAATTACATCCAGCACAAAGAGGTCCCTCCAAGGCCCCGCTCTGCGCAGAAACTGGCTCCGCTCTCCACCCACACATTCTCCTCCATGGGTGACGCAGATGCAGATCACCGCAGAAAATAACACAGCTGTCGGCGCGGCGTTCCGGCAGGTTCCGCGCGGATAACGCGCACCTTTGTCAGCCTACCTTGGAATCGGTCCTGGAGGCCAAACGCAGCACAAACAACCTGCTGTTCCTAATAGCCGAAGGCCGGCGACCCAGAGGTCAAAGCAAAAGGCCGTGAAGATCCAGCAGGCAAAACCCACAGCCAGGAAATTTGTCAACCTGCGACGCCGATTTTCCCAGTTAGTATCAGTCTACCAGTCATTTTATTCTACACATGTAAGGCAATAAAACCCCCTTCACCATCACTGGGAACCCACATTGTGAGATAATAAACTCATACCCATTAAATTGGTATAAAATACAAAAAATTGCCAGAAAGTGTTTCCATTTAAGCGCATTACCAAAACTGACTCCGTTTGTTGTTGTGTTTGACAAGAGACTGCCGATAACCTAAAGTCAGGCTTCCTCATCTTATGTTACAGCTCCGGGAAGCAAAACTCACTCAGCCCTCATGATATACAAGGAGCATCTTATCGTTACATTTCCACAACTCCACAGAAATTTTCTCGAAAACGTATCCCATGGATGGAGGGAGTTTTGGACAGTTGCTGTCCAATTCAAAGAGACCCAGCCTGAGACTAATGCCAGCAGCCAGCCAAGTGTTTGATCAGTGTGGATTTTTACTTTATCTTTTGGAGATTCAGGACAGCGCCCTCTATCTGTGTGGAGGCCCGGTGGTCGAAGCTTCAGGGCCACACACACTAAAGGCTCATTCTCTGCCTCCCCGCCTAACCCTCCCTGTCTCTCTCAACCTCTCTGGCTCCCTGCCCCCCCTGCCCGTAGGCGAGGGGAGAATTCCTGGAGGGTGGGGGCTTTCCCAGGAAGAAGGGTAGCTTTGTCCTGGCAGGGCCGGGCCTCTAGCTGACGGGCGGGCTAACAAACTCTACACTCGGAGCACGAAACCGATAACGGGAAGCGGAGAGAGAGAGAGAGAGAGAGATACACACAGGGTAAGAGACTGGGCCAAGACTTACAGGGCAAGACACTGTCGACAGGGTGAATTAAACAGCAGACAATGTGGCAAGGAGGGGCACAGTCAGTAGGTGAGGTGCACAGTCAGACCCATGTTCCCGAGGCACAGTGCTCACCACCGTTAAGCTGCAGGTCCTGCTAGCTGCCTATGGCTTTTATAAAGGAACAGCTTTGATGCTGAAGGTGGAATTATTTCCACACTGTACTGTGAATCAGGCCCGGAGACAAAAAAAAAAACAGTGAGGAAAACAGAAAATCCTATAGCGGTTTATAGCGAGTCAGCGTTTCTTGTTATTTGAGCAAGCCCTTCCACGTGAGCTGGCTGTACTGTGTGGCAGGAGCCACACAGCGTGTCTCTGAGAACCGACACACACTGACGACTTGCGGGAGCATTGAGAGACACAGAAGCTTCTCACGAGTGATAAGAGCCTGGGCCGGTGCAGCCATGCGGGATTACAGGGCCTCCTGCATTGTCAGGCCGCCATCCCTGGAGAAAATCACCTACCCTGACAGAATACTTATTGTGACCTGAGGGTCCTCTGTTTCCCATTTAAAGTCTGCTGGCATTTCATGCCGTTCTTTGAATGCAAATACGTTTATTTACATAATTGCGCCAGAGAGCGCTACACCGGGCAG